ACTACTATATTCAGCTATTTGCAGGTATAAAATAAACAATGTCTAACTAATGATACACTTCAGCAACTAAACTTATTAATCAAAAATTTATTTTGATATCCTGTGTTACGTTATACTATAACCTGTGATATACTTATAATCTGAAGTTAATTCTTCCAGGCTTTAAATGCAAATTGTACTACTCATTTACACTAGAGGTTACCGTTTACAGACTTAGAGTAATATAGTTTGCACCTCCAACTAACTCAGTATACCAATTGTCATAACTAATATTAAAACACAATAACTTTGTTAATAAGTTGTGCATGATATATTAAACGGAAGCACAATATTATAGTTACCTTATAAGTTATATCTCAAAGAAATTAACACAGAATATAAGCAACAACTAACATAATATCAGTCTCATGATGAAATAGTAAAAAATCTGTCACAATACAAACTAAAAGAGGTTCAAATTTAAGAGTTCACAACCGAAATTAAGAGAAAATTACCAAAATACGGGAATCTCCCGTCTGACAAGCCAAAATACGGGAGTTCCTTTTAGGTTACCAAATTACGGTAGTCGGAATTGGCAATTCCGACTGGAGGGGAAGTCCGAAATTAGGGTTGAAACCCTAGTCGGAATTGGGCAATCCGACTAGAGGTAAGTGCCAATTTAATTAAAAAAACCTAGTCGGAATTGGGGAATCCGACTAGGGTATTTTTTATTTTTTTTTTAAAACAATGCGTAAAGCGGATAAAATTTATTAAAAACCTAGTCGGAATTGGGAAATCCGACTAGGGTATTTTGATATTTTTTTTAAAAAATGACGTGTTTAATTGTGGTTCGAACATTTTACCAACCAACTCGTTTTATTTTCATTGTTTGCACTACGTGTTTTATCTGTATCCATTTATTCTACCAACTTCATTTATATGGTCACCGTATGTACCCCAACAGCTCATATAAAATGAGTTCATTTCTTTTCAAAATTTTCACTCCAAAAATAATCCTTCTTTCTCTCTTGATATATTTATTACATTTTCTGTTTAGGCATTCTTCTCTCATATAAAAATGTCTAGTGAGGGAAATATTGTTGTTATGGTTCATTGGAATGGCTCTACATCTCAAAAAGATGATGAAATAGAGTACTCCATACCTCCTAGGGCGGTACTATTCATTAGTGAAGCAGATGATTATACTACTATACATGAGAATGTTCTAAATCATGTTAGAGGCGACGGATTTTCCGAAATTAAATTAATTTACGGAAAATTGCCAAAATATAAGAATTCTGTATATGTTGCTTCTAGACTATGGCCCATTCACGATGAGCAGACATGGCGTCATTTTTTCCGGATCGCTAAAAATGAGTATGAGGAGTTGCACATTTACGTGGAAGCTTCAGCGACCCCGCCACAAACTTTGACGTTCCACGGAACTCCCAGAGAGGAAGGCCCATCATCCGTATATGGTCGGAGAAACAACCGCCAAACGTTTCAGAACTACGAATCTCCTGGTATGTGTTGTTCAAGTTAAATAGAATTTACAATGATTTGGTTTTATTTGTTGTCATTTTAAGAGTGTAGAAGTAGTTAATTTAGTAATTTGTAAATTTTTTAATTTTGATTGTTAAATAGGAATTTCAGAGTAAAAATTGGCTATCTGTCTGTCTCATCTGCACAAATTCAATACTTCTATCTAATTACACAATAAACACATTCTAGTTCAAATAAATGAAATAACCGGAAGTGGAAGTGGAATTTTAAAAAAATTTAAAATTTCATCTCATGTCGGAACACCCAAATCCGACGAGAGCACAAAAAGTGTTTATTATTCAAATAAACTTAAAATTTGTATACAGCGTATAAAATTTCAAAACTCCTGTCGGAACACCCAAATCCGACCAGAGCACAAAAAGATTTTATACTTCAAATAACTTAAAAATTTTATATATTCCGATAAATTAAAACCAAAAAATTCAAACCATAATTTTATTTTATTTTAGATAGTGTGTTACAAGGAATTGTGTTCAATTCTAGAAATTCAAGAATTGTGTTAAATTAATAATTTGTCCCAAATAATAATATTGAAATTTATGAATGTATCTACTTTGTACAGTCACAAACTTGGGTGAAGAGTCGGACGACCCAGACTATGAACAAGGTTTTAGTAGTGATGTCGATTCATCCACGAGCGATGATAGTGACGACGTAGTAGACACCACCTGGGCTAATGTGGAGCTAGAAGAACCATATGTTCAAGCATTAGATTCTGAGCCTGAAAGGATCGAAGTAGGCGCAGTTTACTGTTCATATGATGCACTGAAAGAAGCGGCGGCGAGAGAAAACATTCGTCAATTTCGTCAATTCAGAACGGTTGACAAAAGGCCACGGTCCTGGAAGGCGGTTTGCATAGACCCGACCCTTGCACTTGGCATATCCAAGCAGGAGAAGGTATGACGTCAAAAAAGTGGAAAGTAAAAAAATATCAACCCCATCACAGTTGTAGGGAGGATCCTGTCATGACTCGGGATGACAGGCTCCTAACGGCCAAAATTATAGCCAGTGAAATCGCTCCAAAAGTGAAAGTCGACCCGGACTACAGCATTAAACTGATAATGTCAGACATATATGAAAAATTTAATATCCGTGTTTCATATAAAAAAGCTTGGAATGGACGCTTGATCGCTCTGGAGCGTAAATTCGGCAATTGGGAGGCATCATATAATGAACTTCCTATGTTGTTGGAATCTATACAGTTTTCAAATCCGGGGACTGTTGTTCATTTGCAATCACAATAGGCCGGCACTCCTGATACGTCTGAATTCCGCCGAGTGTTCTGGTCATTCAAGGCTTCTATAGACGGTTTTAGATTTTGCTTACCCGTAGTCTCGGTTGATGGCACTCACTTATATGGCAAATACAAGGGAGTTCTTCTAGTTGCGGTAGCCATGAATGCTAACCGTGAGATATTTCCTCTTGCATATGCTGTTGTTGAGAGTGAGAATGCTGACAGCTGGTCGTGGTTCTTTGCAAGGGTTATGCGTGATGTGGTTGGAAATCACCGTAGTGTGTGCATTATCTCTGATCGTCATGCAGGAATTGAAAGTGCATTTAGAGCCTTGCCAGAGTTGAGATCGCCACAAGTTTCAAAGCGTTATTGCCTCCGTCACATACGGAGTAATTTCATGACCAAGTTTAGGAACGCGTAACTGAAAAAATTATGTTGGCAAGCTGGTAGCACTCCTACAGAACAGGAATTTCACGACTGTATGCAACAAATACGAGACATAAATGAGAGTGCTTTTCTATATTTGAATGAGATTCCTGTTGAGATGTGGGCCCTGAGCTATGACGATGGCAAAAGATATGGCATTTTGACGACAAACCTTTCTGAAAGTTTTAACAATGTCTTAAAGGGATGCCGCACATTGCCTATCACAGCACTAGTAAAGGCCACATTCGATAAAGTCGTCCAACTATTTGCCGATCGACGAAATGCGGGAATAATGTGGCACCAAGCTGGATTCTTGTATCCACAGAACATATGGAAGGATGTTCTTGAGCGGTCACAGCGTAGGTATCACACAACTATTGTCCCGCACAATCGAACAACAGGAATTTACTCTGTAGCTATTGGTTCGCATGATCCAGTGACAATCGATCTGACAAGGCAGGAATGTGGGTGTGAGTATTGGAAGCAGAACGGGATGCCATGTGTTCACGCGTATGCGGTTTGTCGGTTTTTAAAAATAACCGTAGACAGCCTCATCCCAGCTGTGTATTCCTTAAATGCTTACATCCGAACGTACGCTTCCGATATTATGCCTATTAATAATTACCTCAATGTCATGGCAGAAACATCGCATACACTTCTCCCGCCCCCAAACAATAGATCGGCTAGAGCCGGTAGGCCACAGAGAACTCGATTTCCTAATGAAATGGATTTGCGTGCTACAAGGAGAGGACATGAGTAATATTGTAATGTATACCTTGTTGGGTTTTTTGAACTAATGAAATATTTGTTCTCTTTGTTGTAGTTATTGAATTTTTTTAGTTTGCACAACAACTATAATTAGATAAAGTTTAATCAGATAACTATAATCAGATAAGTTCAATCAGATCAAAATTAGATAATTCCATATTTATTCCACATTGCTTATCTGATCAAACCTCACTCGCACTACAAATGGAGTCAGGATCAAGACATGGGCGGTAATTATACTTCGCAAATTTTATTTAAATTTTTTTAAAATAATAATAGTAATAAAATTTATGAAAACTTAGTTCCTAAATTGATTGTTTTCGATCATTCGGGTCCTAGATCCATAGTTTTCCAAAATTCTTTAATTAATTCATTTAGTAATGATGATAAAAAAATTCATTTAATAACATATTAAAAATGCTAACCAGTACGTACTAATGTACTATAATTAGATAAAGTTTAATCAGATAACTATAATCAGATAAGTTCAGTCAAATAAAATTTAATCAGATAAATATAATCAGATAAATTTAATTACATAAAATGTAATCATATATATATAATCAGATGAGTTCAATCAGATAAAATTTAATGAGATAAATATAATCAGATAAGTTCAATTAGATAAAATTTAATCAGATAAATATAATCAGATAAGTTCAATCAGATCAAAATTAGATAATTCCATATTTATTCCACATTTGTACAAAAAATAAACTCTAAACCACCAAAGAAACACAATAAGGGCTCGGATCCCTACAGCACGGCTGTTATCAAAAGAGAGGAGGGGGCTTGGATCGTAATCCGACGGCGGTAAACTGATACCTCCAGTCGGATTTGGTGCTTCCGACTACAATAAAAATTTTAAAAAATTGTTTTAGCTGATAAAGTTAGCTACACGGTACAAGGAAAAAGGTATATGTGGAGAAGTGTGGACCACTAATTACAACACCAACTTTTATTTAATGGATCAAGAACTCCCAATCAATTTGTTTTTATATAAATAGAGCAAGAGCCTAGCCAGTTGGATCAAGAATCCCCACTTAATCCCAAGCAAGAGCACCTACTAGCAAATCAAAATTTGTGATCTGCCAAATTTCCAGGTTAGTTAATTTCCGGTTTTAAAAGTGTAGAAGTAGTTAATTTAGTAATTTATAAATTTTTTAATTTAGATTGTGAAATTGGACTTTTAGAGTAACATTTAGCTATAAAATACTTGAAAGTTAGAAAGTGTGTAACATTTAGAATTTCCCTTAAATTTCGGTTTTAGGAATGTAGAAGTAGTTAATTTAGTAATTTGTAAATTTTTTAATTTACATTGTGAAATTCGAATTTTACTCTTTAATTTTAACTTTTTATTATTTATAATAGTTGAAATTGTAGATGTTTAGAAATTGCGTTAAATTTAAATAGTCGAATTTAAGATTTTAATTTTGCAATTATAGTTATTTCGAATTTCAAAATTACTAGTTATTTTGGTAACTTTTAAGATTTTAATTTAGATTGTGAATTTAGAATTTCCCTTAAATCTCGGTTTTAGGAGTGTAGAAGTAGTTAATTTAGTAATTTATAAATTTTTTAATTTAGATTGTGAAATTGGACTTTTAGAGTAACATTTAGCTATAAAATACTTGAAAGTTAGAAAGTGTGTAACATTTAGAATTTCCCTTAAATTTCGGTTTTAGGAGTGTAGAAGTAGTTAATTTAGTAATTTGTAAATTTTTTAATTTACATTGTGAAATTCAAATTTTACTCTTTAATTTAAATAGTCGAATTTAAGATTTTAATTTCGCAATTATAGTTATTTCGAATTTCAAAATTACTAGTTATTTTGGTAACTTTTAAGATTTTAATTTAGATTGTGAATTTAGAATTTTACTCTACATTGTGAAATCCGAAGTTTAGAGTTGTACTTAGCTATAAAAATCTAGAAATTTAGAAATTGTGTTACATTTAGAATTTGAGTTAAAATTCGATTTTATGACGTTACAAGTTGTTACTTTAGTAATTTTTTATTTTTTTGTGTTAGGTTGTGAAATTAGAATTTTAGAGTTCAATTTAGCTATAAATATCTACAAATTTAAAAATTGTGTTACATTTAGAATTTGTGTTAAATTTCGAATTTAGTAATTTATAACTACTTATTTTAGGAATTTCAAATGGAGCAAAACATTCCGCGCCCAGGGCCTGTTAACCGTTCACTACTCACGTTGCCACTGCGTGCCCATCGTGCGGACCGTATATGGTATGAACCGAATTCCAAAGACTCGTGCTTGAAATGCGTCAGTTGCCCTTCAGCTGCATTCGGAGTTGAAGAGCGAGATCCAAGAGTGATAGGTATGCTAGCATATGCTGGCTTCTTGGGGGTAGAGCACATTGCCCGTATGAAGGTGGATCATAGTTTAATATGCGCTTTGGTGGAGAGATGGAGGCCGGAGACACATACTTTCCATCTTCCATTCGGTGAGGTCGGCATTAGTCTACAAGATGTGGCGATGATCCTTGGTTTGCCCATTCGGGGTATGCCCCTCAGTGGTCCAACCGTTAAGGGTAAGGCTCAGTGGATCGACCTGTGCACGCAGTCGTGTGGTTTCACTCCTCTAGAGACTGATATGCGCACGGGTGATATCACCATGAGTGCTCTTACCCGTCACCAGATCCTACCTGACAGTACAGACGAAGAGGTCACCGAACACACCAGAACCCTAATATGGCAATTGCTTGGAGGCCTTTTGTTCCCTGACACGAGTGGGACAAGAATACGATTATACTTTTTGGAGGTCTTGCAGGGTGACTTGGCTTTAGCCCATCGATGGAGTTGGGGATCAGCGGTTCTCGGGTACCTCTACCATAACTTGTGCAACGGCGCCAAGTGGGAAACCAAACAAGTTGGCGGTTGTATGCACTTGTTACAGATTTGGGCTTGGTCGAGGATTTCGATGGTCCGTCCCTCAGTAGTTCAGGTCATTCAACATGACCATCTTCCATATAGGTGCAGGTATGTTGGCAATTACATCTTAATAATTGAGAATGCGTTATATGACGTTAGAGTTTTTAAATTCATTTCGGTAATAAATAAATGTAGGTGGATCATCCCCAAGTCATATAAGGGATCCCCAAGACACTGCATACGCCTGTACCGGGATGACCTAGACCGAATGAGTGAGAGTCAGGTAGTACTTCAAATTTTTACTTCCACCGTACTATTCAATTTTTAATACACATTGTTTTATAGTGGTTAAATTGCAAATTAAAATTTTTACAGTTTGATTTCACTCCCTACGCGTCCGAGGAACTCCCACCTATCATCCTTAATGACGCTCCGCTTTGGTCGGCTAGGGTCATGCTCATATTTTACAATATGGCCGAAATGCATTACCCCGATCGATTTCTTCAGCAGTTCCATATAAGGCAAGATACTCCGGATGCTCCTTTGGCGGGTACTGATCATCACGGCAATCGTTCCAACATAGTAACCGGTGCCTTGGCGTTGTGGGCGGACATACAACATAATATATATTTTCTTGATTATGATCGACATATGTCCGTCGAAGCAACTAAGAGGTACCGAAAATGGTACCAGAAGCATGGTATGACACGTGTCCAGAACCCTTCTCACAATGTGCCCACGACAGGCTACATCCCGACATCACACGATTGGGGTATTGTGGTAAGTTTTTGAATACATACTATATTCATTAACATATATCATGTCATATTATTTACACATGTTACATTTTTATGCAGAGGCAGAGCTTTTACAAGCTGAATCAGCTCTTAGCCGACCGCGCAAGTCATGAGGACTGTCAAAAACGACTACAGCGGATGGCCCTGGACGTAGGTGATGAAGAGATGCTCCGCCGGGGCATATTCCATTATGAAGATGAAGATGAAAGTGGAAGTGAGGAAGAGGATGATGCAGATGAACATGAAGGTGGGGGTGAGCACTCACAATCGCCCCCTCAATTTTCAACACGTGAGGGTGTCTCATTTGATCAACCACCCCCTCAATTCTCAACGCATCAAGGTGTCTCATTTGATCAACCACCGCCGTATTATGATTCTTATCAGTACTCCACACAAGCGGTTGATTATGTTGATTCATTTCTGGATTCGTCGTCGTTTTACTATGGAGACACAATGGGGCCTTGGAACACTAGCGGTGGGGACGGAGCAGGGCCGAGCACGCAACGTTAGATGTAGTATCATTAAATTTATATTATTGTATGTACTATCTATTTATTAATAAATTACATTGAAACCTACATTTGTTTTGTTCACTTTCATTAAATTTACAAATCGCATTTAAAACAAATTCAAATTTGTATCTCATTTTATGAATTTTATTCACAATACAAATGGATTTTAAAAAATAAAATTAAAAACTATAACTTTAGGCCAATTTAAAAATTAAATTGGCGACTAATTAAAAAAAGAGAAATTCGACCAATTTAAAAATTTAAACATGAATGAAATTGGCCAATTTAGTTTAAAACTTTAGTTGGAAATTAAAAACTTTAAATTAAAAAATAATATAAAGCAATCAAATGTTTTGTTACTCAAAAAACGAAAATGCTAAGTTTTCATTTTAAAAAATATGTCATGAATCTTAAAAAACTTTAAAATTTGGAATGGATAGAATTTAGCCCTAGAATTTAAAACTTTTAGTTTTTAAAACTTAAAATAAAAAATTTACGAATTACGAATTAAAATAAAAAATTTACCAAAAAAACAAAAAAAAAGCCCTAGTCGGAATTCACTAATCCGACAGGAGGTTAGGTCTTTTTTTTTGAAACCCTCTTGTAGTCGGAATTGGGTGTTCCGACTCCCCCTATTTGGTAAAACCTAGATAAATCCCCGTATTTTGGCAACCAATCTCCCCCTTTCCCGTATATTGGTAAAACACCCCGAAATTAAAGCAAGTCACAACCTAAGCAATGAAAGCATGTAGACATTAAACTAATTAAAACTACATAAAATGGCCAAAATAATAGGCTATCAATGTTTCTTCAGCTAAAACTCCCAAACCAACTAAGAATACTAAGCAAACAAAAAATCACCCTCTGTAAGAACAGAGCATCAAACTAATTTGATTTTCCTATCAACTCTAGAAAATTAGACTTTACATAATCCTTTTTTAATAGCTAGCACATTAAATACCATATTTTGATTCTGAAATACAGATATTATTGTACTTGAGAATATAGAAACAAATTCAAACCCATCCATGCGAGATAAAAAGCTTTTTGGAGTTCATTGAGAAGAAACGTTTTGATGACTAATACATGTCCTTTGTATTGTTGTTCCATCAAAAAATTGCCACAAGTCCTATTGAGCCTGTGTTAGTCTATTCTGGAAAAGCCTCTCCGACCTGTCTAAAAGACTAAAAGGATTTGAAAAAAATCAAAATGGTACAAGAACTTGATTCAAGTGGAGTAAGTAGTACTTCATCTTACAGTTGAAATTAAAAAGTACATGAACTTACACTTTTGGGTATCCTCAATTAGGAATTCATAAAATTTTAAAGGATTAAGATTTTGATGGATTTATATGTAATTGTATAGAATACAAAGATTCTAATCAAATTCCATGGAATTTTCAATCCACCTCCAATTCTCAGCATCAACCTTCCACCCGCATCAGATTCTTGCCACCACTAAGCCCCAGTCCAGCTTCTCCATCCTAGAGCTCAGCCACATACCATTGTTTGTTTTTAATTGTTTAGGGAATTGAAATTTTAGTTGGATTTACCCACGTATGAACAGAAATTAATTAAAAGATAGGAGAAAATCTATAAGAGAGGGCTTGATTTGAGACAGAAACGTCGAAGGTGGCGGACAGAGAGTTATGCTTGCCGAAGCTGCTGGCTTTGTTTTGCTTCTGGACGGATCGAAGAACGGCAGACTAGCGGAGCTCTGCTAGCTTTGTTTTGCTCTTGGATGGGAAATCCATTCAAATCCGAAGGATGCACGACAGCACGAGAGATTTTCAGCGATATTCTACCTTTGAATTTTACGTATGCAATCCACGTAAATCCTTAACAATGCAAGAGTTAATGAATCCATGGACAGTTTTGAGGATACCCAAATTTTGGTAGACTCCATACAAATCCTAATTGAGGACACTCAAATTTCGATGGAGTTTTAAATTCCTTTAAAATCCTTAAAGTCGATTAAGTACACTTGCTCTGTTAGAAAGTTAAAATATTTGACCTGGCCAAACTATGATTTTTTAATATACCATTGCAGTCCAAGTCATCAAATAATTAATCTATAAACTCTAACTAAAATTATTAATAAAGTAAATTTTAAATATTTTTTTCATAAATTAGTAGAATCAGCCAATACAGCCACTTCAGCCACAACTTTATAAATTTCAGCGGAATTAGTCTCAGTTCATCCGATTTTAATGTTACCAAACGAGCTCTTAGTCTCTTGTGTATTATCAAATTGACACTTTGGTCTTTCTACTATGATTCTGACACATTAAATGCAGAACTGAAAATGTTGTTACTATAATAATTAGAAAAATTAAAAGTGTCACTTTTATGAAAGCGGGTAACTAAATATGAAATTTTCAAGGCGGGTAACACACATTCTTTCGATAACAGCCGAATGATCAAAAGTATAAAAAAAAATAAAATCGAATACCAAAAATATCTATGACATAATAATGGAAAGACTAAAATTGAGAAAATTTCAAAATTACAACCATTAACCAAAGTTATTGATTAGAAAAGGCAACCACGTCTAATTAAAAAGGGTAGCAATAGTATTACTTCCTCCGGTCCATTGAACTTTGTCAATTTTCCTTTTTTGGTTGTTCCAAAATAATTTGTCACTTTATTATTAAAACAACTAATTTATGGTTTTACATATTTTTCTCTCCTCTGCACAAATTTCAACAACACATTTTTTTTACTATTCTTATTTCTCAGTTACTTTGCACTTGGCAAAGTTTACGGGGACGGAGGGAATAATAAACGCCTAGAGCACTCTATGCCCACCGGCCACCCCCAAACACGGCCCTACTTGTATGGCCAAATATCCTATCTCATAGCTTGTAAAAAGACCTGTTAAATAATGTTTTTTATTTGTCGTGATGATTTGTTTTGCTTTTAATATAACTGGGCCTGAATATAGCATTAGCATGACGTATACCCTTACGTCAGCCCCATAACTTTACAACCTGGGTTGTCGCGCGCACTTCTCCCCAGTCCCCACCACAAATCCACAATATTTAACCATATAAACGAACGCCACTCGATAGGTACACATCGATGCCTTCTATGAATAACTTCGGCGCTACCTTGAGCGACGGCTCAGCCCATTCCACCACCGGCGGCGACAGCGATTACGCCGTCCTTGTGTCGGAGAATGCGATCGTCTTATTCGGACGGAGCGGTTGCTGCATGCGCTACGTCGTGCAGAGTCTGCTCATAGGGCTCGGCGTCAACCCCACCATTTACGACGTGGAAGAAGAGAAAGAGGTCGCCGTCATCCAACAGCTTTCCCGGATTATCAGCTGCACAGAAGATCAGGCGCCTCAGCTGCCGCCGTTCCCGGCAGTTTTCATCGGCGGGAAGTTTTTTGGTGGCTTGGATAAGGTTATGGAGTCTCATATCTCCGGTGATTTGGTGCCTCTCCTTAGAAAAGCGGGTGCCCTCTGGGTTTGACTCGCTTTTTATACTCCGTGTGTTTTGTTTTACATCCCGTTTCTCACCTGGTGAATTTGGATTTTAGAGGTTAAAGTTTGAAGTATATTTATAGGGTAAAGTATTAATACTTTGAAAATGTTTTCATTCAAAACACCATCTTAAGAGTAAAAACTATAAATTTCGCATTAAAATGATTGATCATTATTAAATATAGCTAACTAAAAAATACTAGTACTATAGTACTACCTCCGTCCCGCTATGATTGTCCCATTTCACCTTATCGATCCGTTCCACTAACATTGTCAAATACCAAATTTGGTAAAGTTTGTGTGGCTCTAAATTATTCTTACTTTATTCTTACTTTATCAATTTAATATCAAACACATAAACCATTTTTTATTAATTTGCGTGTCACTCCCTTTTATCTCATTGTTAGCGGGACGGAGGGAGTACTACACTACTACGTGACGTGAGTGACGTTAATATGTGTTTTTAAAGATCTCTTTAATTTATTAAAAAAGAATTATGTCTTACTATGCATTTCGGTCTTTCGGTTGTATATTCACAACCTTGCAGTTAGGGGTGGGCATTTCGGTTTTAGGTTCGGTTTTCTTCGGTTTTGGTTCGATTTCGGTTTAATAGAAAATGTACCAAATACAAACCGATTAAGTTTTTGTTTGGTATGGTTCGGTTCGGTTTGGAGTTCGGTTTATCAAAGTATTAAAGTTTGGATTGAAATAAAAAAAACTCAAAATAATGAACCAAGAAACGATAGTAATGAACCAAATATAATGTTAGATATAAATTTGCAAATAGTAACAAAACACATATGAACCAAAAATATATACGCATGACACATTTGTAAGCAACAACAATTACGAGAATGAATCAAATTATATATAAAGCCGAAACAAAAAAAAACTGGTACTTGTAAGTAATGAACCAAATATATAGTAGTAGTAGATAATAAATTATACTTCCTCCGGTTCTTATTTAGGTTCTTAGTTTGACTTCACACATATTAAGAAAATGAATTTGACTTTACTGTGGAGTGCACTGTTTGGCACTGTTTGGACACTGTTTGACACTGTTTTGCACTGTTTTGTTTCCTAAAATGGAAGTGTGAACTTAAATAAGGGACATCCCAAAAAGGAAAGTGAGAACTTTAATAAGAACCGGAGGGAGTAGTTAAATACTATCTACTTAAACCACTATAATTGTTATAGTTGTGAATGTAACTCTTGTAGTAAACACTAGTCATTGACAGTAAAATTAAAATATTAAAGCTTCAAAAAGATTAACATCAATCAAATTAATAAGAGAAATCTTATACATTGGTTTGGTTTAGTTTGGTGTAAGTTGGTTTTGATTTGTTATTTTAAACAAAATACGAAATTTATTCATTTTTAGATTAGTTCGGTTTTGTTCGGTTTTATTCGGTTTTATGATTTCGGTTCGGTTTGATTCGGTTTAATAAGGGTTGGAAGGAATACTACCAAACTCAAACCAAATAACAAATGGTTCGATTTCGATTTGGTTTAATTCGGTTTGGTATGGTTGGGTTCGGTCAAACCGAACCGTTATGCCCACCCCTACTTGCAGCATTGAAATTAATTTAATTGACTAAATCACTTCAGATTGATGAAATTTTAGCTAAAATATATGAATTAGTTGAATCTATTAAATTATTCAAAAACTAAATTTATAATATAGTTCTGATGGAGTATATAGCCTGGGAACCCCCGGCCCACATACTCCTGCTATCTCAAACAGGCCCAACGGACATCGACGAGCCAGGTACATCAGCCCATATCCCACAAGGGGATGCCTTCGGCACAATGGCCGAAGGCCTTAAACTCAGGAACGCCACTCCATTTTGGCCCAACATCACGCGTGGAAATTTCAGCTCCTCACATCAGCCTTCGGTCACAGAGTCTTCGGCCCCGGTATCGAAGGCCCTCGCTCTCGATAGAAGCTCCTCTCTTTCTAGCGTTCAACCACTGCATTTAATGTTGTGCCACGTGCCAGCACCCGCACAACGGGGGCAGAGACGTCTTTAGAACTTCGGAGGCCCCAGACGAAAAACACTTAATATTGACATATTATATTAATGTGATTTTTACAACATAAAAGACAAAAAAAAGATAAATTGAATAAAAATACAAAATAAAAGAAAAAATGCGTATTCAAAGAGTAGTGAACATCAAAATAATAAAAATTTTAAATGTAAACATACACAAAATGGACAAAAACTTACACTTCCTCCACCCCAAGTAAACATTATCATTTGTCTCTTTTGGACGTTTCATTTAAAAAGTTTTCATTCTCATTTTAATTTTTGAATATAGTTAACTCTTCTATGACAATATAGCCATCAACAACAATAACATCCGAGCCTTATTCCCAAAAGATTTTGATATTGAATTGATGATAAAGTAAGAATAAAGTAAGATTGATTTAAAGTCACACAAACTTTACTAAATTTGATATGAGACAATCTTAGTAGTACTTCTAAATTTGCCCCAGTAACATACTTACAAAAAGATAAAAAATAAAGCAGTCAACCAAAAGCTAAAGTTCACAAATATAATAATAATCAGTGAAAGTAAAAAATAACTAAATAACTACGACCATCAAACAAATTAAACATTACTTCAATAATTCATGAATATGGGGGCTAGTTGGAGTAGTTGCTACGAGCCTACCATTTAATTAGAGCTAACTTCGGTCATCGATGTGAAGATAACTTTCTTTGCCTTCATCAACACGCTCCCCAGAACCTGGGGGCCCTCTTGGCATTAATGCCCCAGACCGGGGAGAACATCACCCCCCGCCACCTCTGCCCTTTTTAACAACCCCATCATGAATATCGATATTGACAAGGGAGTGGTCGCTCGGGACACAGCCTCTCAGGAGGCCCAATCCCGGGATAAAGGCGGAGTGAACAAAAAAAAGCCCCGCACCTTCGCTCTCGACAGGATTGGAGGAGGTCAAGAACGTCGAGCGGTCCAAGACAGTCTCGGTGGAAGAGTGCATAGCAAGCCACATGTCCAAGAAAGCGGAGGTTCCATCTCGAGGGGCCGAGGAGAGATAACCCCCTCAGGATAAGGGAAAGGCCTCCTACACGCGGATGACGCCAGGCACCAAATCAACCAGGCCAACTCGGTCTGGGGACCGTCACATCAAACGGGGGCGCTCCTAAGGGACCACATGGATGACATCATTGAAGCCCTCTAGCAGAGGCTTGATGAGATGGAAGCACGACAAATACAGGTGGCCACCACCACCCAACCTGATCCCAAGTATGCATCCCTCCTGACAAAGATGGATGAAATGCAGAAGAGGATCATCGAAGGTTCGGGGGAGCCAGTCATTTAGCTCCGGACAAGGATGCCTTTCACCCCAAGGGTGTTGGCGGAACAGATCCCCCGCAAGTACCGAGGCAAGAACATCAAGCCGTATTAGGGAAAAACCGATCCGCAGGAACACTATAACAGGTATCAGAACAACATGATGATGATAGGGGCGTCGGACGAATATTTGTGCCGGTGGTTCCTATCCACATTGGTTCAACCGATTGTCCGAAGGAAGCATTGATTCGTGGCAAGAGCTTGCACAATCCTTCTTGACGCAGTTCGTCGGGAGGCCCTGGTCAAAGAAGCAATTCTCCCACTCGCTGACTGTCATGCAACACAAGGAGGAAACCCTCCGGGATTTCCTGGACCGCTGGACACAAGAAACCGATAAGGTTGATGACACGGTGCTAGCCCTCCTGCAAACGGTACTCCGCTCCAACAACTTCTCAAGGAGTCTCATCACTGAACCCCCGTGGGATAACATCAGGACCCTTCCGCAAGGAGACAGGTATGCAGAGGCCGGGGAGGTTGACAAATACCGCCGGAACCCCCCCCCCCCCCCCCAGAAACCAGATGGTAAGCATCACCGCAGCTTGGGCACCGCACCCCCACCTCCCAAACTACAGGCTCCCTCTAGAGATCGACCCCGGCTTGGCCAAACCAAGTCCGGGGGCGGCTTTAAGAACAACCCGAAGGCATGGGCTCAGCCAATGCTCCATGAGCGCCTGCGTATCCCCCTGACGCACCCCATCAGTATTATCTTGGACTACACCGAGCAGAGAGGCTTGGTGGAGCGGGACTCAAGGGCGTCCCAGGTGGTCTTTGCCATCAACCCTAATGAGCCGCTCTGCCATTTCCTCATGCATCTTGCGCACCATTGAATGATTGATAGAAAAGGGGCACCTATCTCAGTTCGTCAGGGGCCCTCACGGCAAAGCAAACACTTGGGTCAATCCCAACACGATCCCTATTGGCGACCAAAACGGGAAGAAGCGTGAGATCGGCAACCTCAGCGACGAGGATGAACATAGCTATCAGCAACTAGGGCAGAGCACGGGTCAGGTTCGGGCAGGTCGGGTCGTTCAAAATTTGTAAACCCGTTCGGTTATCGGATTGATAATTTCAAACCCTACCCTATCAAAAAATTATCGGGTTTTTCGGATTGAAGAAGATCGGGTTGTGATATGCACTAATTAGTAGTGCATAAATGTATATTTTTATGATTGATTTGTGTGTATTGTTTACCGTTTTATTTAGTTTGTAAACATTTATGTAATTTCAGTTGTAATTGTATTTTATTCTTTATTTAAAAGTTGTAAAGTGTAGTTAGGATTTGTAGTGTTGGAAAGGAAGACTTTGAAGAGAAGAAAACAAGAAATTTGACTGCACAGGAGTGAAACCCGACCAGGTAGAAACCCCCACCCGGTCGGGTAGGATTTAACAGACGAAATTGCCAAGAAAGTCACTGGACCCGGTCAGGTCCCCTACTTGACCCAGTCGGGTCGGATGTGACCCGGAACACCAGAACGTGCCAAGGATCGCCCGAATAAAGAATATCTGATTTTTGAGTCAAACCCGGTCGGGTCCCCTACTTGACCCGGTCGGGTCTGACTTGACCCGGGACATTTTAACGTGCTGAAACACAAAAACGTGGGAGATAATCTGATTTTGACCGGTACCCGGTCGGGTAAGCACTAAACCCGGTCGGGTACCCGGCTAAAGGTGTTGAAAAACACCTATAAATAGCACACTTTTTCTTCACAAAAATGGAATCTCTTCTTCCATACTTCTAAGCTCAGTTTAGAATAGCATTTTTTTCTATTTTTC